AAGGCTTCCCCCCACCCCAGAACACTACCCTCTTGAAAAAGTAAAAGATTCTTTCATTGTTTTACAAACCCTCCCCCAGGTCCACTCCACCATGTAGCCATCGCTCTAGACTCCTGTCAAAGTCATGATATTTTTAATTGCTCACTATGTAGGTAAAACTTAACAATAAATAATAAAGACTAAAAAAAAATTACATCATAGCTTCTTGTTTCTTGATCTGAAACCAGTGCTCCATTTTGAATTTTCACTATATCACTGGAAAAGATTGCAATATTCTGAAGTTTATGGCAACTGCTAAGTAGTTTGGCAAAGGTGATTTGGTGATTGCTGTTATGTGCTGCTGAGTCACTTAAAACTCATAGTGATGCTAGGTACAATAGCTCTGAACCCTACCCTATCCTGAGCCAATTCCACTATCTCTGGCACACCTTTCCCTATAACTGCAGTTACTGTGTTAATCCATCATCTCCTCCAGCGTTGTCTTCTTAGAAACCCAGTTGTCAGTCAGTTGTCACATGCAAACTGTATAGAAAGTTAGATTCTGGAGATAGAGGACCTCTTCTTTATCTCACCCTTAAAGTGGGATAAAATATCTGGAATCACAGCTCTGGGAGTAGTAGTACTAGTTGTGTCAAGAGAACAGGAATTTTGAGTATTCAGAGGAAGAAGTGTTCAAACTGAATGAGTAAACCAAGAGGAAAAGGAGCTGCTTCTAGAGCAGAGACACCCAGTGCATATTGGTCAGATTTTTCATATGGGACCCAGTGAAAACACTTGGAAATTCACTTAGTTCCTTACATTTGAAAATTCTCTTCTCTGTCATGCAATGTGTCTAATATAGGTATTAAGAAAAACAGCCTCTGAAATGAGACCAATCTGAGTTAAAATCCTAGTTTCTCCATTTTCTAGTTACTAATTCACGTTAAGTTCCTGGTTTAACAAATATTTTTTTCACTTTACAGACCAAGTGTTTTCTGTTGCAACTAATAATGTGCATAATCTTAACACAAAATAAGCCACGAACGATTCATAAGCAATTACGTGGTTGTGCTCCAATAAAGGCTTATTCATGAAAAAAAAAGGAAATAATAACTGGATTTACTTCAGAGCTTTGCAAAGATTAAAGGAAATACTACATGGGAAGAATTTGGGACACAAGTAATGTTTAAGAAATGGAACTGTTATTATGCAAGCTTTTATTGAGAAGCTGAAGCAGCTTACTGAGGGGTAGGGAACTAAGAAGATTGCATCTAAATACAACCCTGGAGTCTCTGGCACGGTCATCACCAAAGGAGCTGTCCAGTCCCGCTGGCTGACCTGACTTCATCAAGAGGAAGAATATAATGGCTGATTTTGAAAATCACCTACTATTTAAACACATATGCAGATGTTTTTTTTCCTCCCCAAGCAGGAAGGGTGGAAAAAGAATGAAGGGAGGGCTAGTTTTCTGTGCTGGTGATTAGAACAAATAGTCACCGAGTATGCCTTACTTGTAGCATTTACAAAGCTAGTCCAAAGCAAAAGGCCACAAGAAAATTTAGGCAGCATACAATTTGTTTACATTTTATGGAAAATGTTAATCTGCTGGTCCATATACATTGCCTTCTCTTCCCCTCCACACTGTATACAAATCACTGGAAAACCTTTAGAACAGGGAGGGGGGGAAATCTTATTAATCCTATCTTGTTTAATTCTGCGTATCCCTTTTCTAGTATGTGTGAAGGAATTTAAAAGTTCTGATGAATTCTCTTACTCTCCAGCTCGATACTTCTAGTTCGGGGCATGATTGTATGGCCAGGAATTTAGAGGACTGCCTTGTAGCATAATTGTACTAAAATATAATACAAAGAGTATTGACAGTCAAAAGAATGCATACTGGTTTGCTAGTGTTGCACTCACTCTGAGTGTGTGTATATATATATATGTGTGTGTGTGTGTGTGTGTGTGTGTGTGTGTGTGTACAGATACACACACACACACAAGCACAGATGTAAACACACATACATAAATATGTATATATATTTACATATAAAGATACATAAACACTCCACACACACACAGGTATAATGGTGGTGAAGGCATCAACTTCAGCTCTAGGGGAAGTCTCTCCTCTAATTGTTATGTACCATCCAATCAGAACCAACACATAGCTGACCTTCCAGTGGGTTTCTCAGAGGCATTTAATCACACAAGAGGAGATTACCCACCTTTCTCCTGTGGAGCAGCTGGCAGATTCAGACCGAGTGCCTTTAGGACGGCAGTGTAGCTTCTTACCACTAGGCCACCAGAGTCCCCTAACTCCAGAGGATACTCCCTATCTTTTGTAGCGTTCTGGATTTCCTTGGAAATCGCTACTATGGCATCTGTTTTTCTCCCATTCCTACTTGTTTCTCCCTGTGTTGAATTTGTTCTTTTTATATCTCAAAAGTCATTAGGTTTAGGGCACACCCTACACTGATGGGGCCTTTCTAACAAAACTTGATTCCTAAATGAGATTGCATCCACACATATTAGCATTAATGCCAGCATATATTTTGGAAATAGAATTCAGTCCTTAACAGGGAAAGTGGTGGAATTCTTTCATTTCTATATAATTTGCCAATTTTGGACACTGGAAAGACTCAGAAATTAGTTAAAAGGGGGGAAAAAACCCCATAGTTTATTTATATCCCCAGGTTACGATACTAACTGGATAAAGTAACAATTGATGAAAAGCCAACAGGAGTAACTTCAACCTGAACTTTTCACTCAAATAGGTTTTCCATGCAGAAAGTTAGTGGTTGGTTTTGCTTATGTGATTCTTGTAGGAAAGTAAAACATAAACTAAGAATTAGGAGAAATTAAAATGACACCAAATACCAAAAATTAAAAGGGTGTGGTTTCAAATTGCTTTTCTTTTATACAAAGGAGAAAGTAGGTCACCATGGGCAGGGGCGGCATTCCATTCTTTATTTTGATTCCACAGTCTTTTATTCCACTTTCAAACCTAATTGTTAAATTGGCAATATTTTTTTTTTCTAACTTTATTTTTACAGTGGGGTAGAAAGAACCAGGCTGATCCAAACATTGCAAAATAATTGAGACTGTTTTGCCGATTTCAGCAAAACTATTTGACATTTAAAGGTCAAAAAGCATAGCTTAAGGTATGCTTTCAGTGAATTAACTGCTTCTTCATTTTGAATACACAAGTCGCAGAATCCATGGCTGAAAAAAAAAAGTTAGAGCTATTTATACTTTATTTCCATTCCATGACCTAATGCCATGGGGTTTTTACATCTTTAGCATGCCAGTTGAGACATAGATGGCCTAATACGTACCAAGCCTTACCAATGAGCAGGTATTGTCATTTGCTTCCAGTTCATGGCAGTCTCGAATGTGTTAGTGTGAACTTCCCTCCACAACATTCTCAATAGCCGATTTTTCAGAAGGAAGCCTCCAGTCTTTCTTCCAAGTTGTGTCTGGACAGACTTCAACCTTCACTTAGCAGATACAATGTGAAGTACATTAACCATTTGCACCACCCAGATTGGTAGGATGTGCCCATTTTAGTATTCCCTTCATTGTCCTTAAACTCAAGGAGACCTTTGATTCCTCCTATGAGCCTGAAGCTCTCTGGTGGACACATACTCTCCCAACCTAGGCACCACCTTTCTCTCAAGAACTCCCTGTTTATAAATTAAACCTTGCATTCAGTGCTCCTGGGTTTTTGGGGGAGCTCAGATATACTCAGTATAAGAAATTAAGACTTTCAAAATGTTAAAGGTCAGGCTAATATCTAGATGTAAAACAAAGCAAACAGAATTTTTTTTTTCCACTATGAAGTCATTCATCAAATGACACCTGGAAATCTTGATTAGAAAAAAAGTCACATTTCCTTTTTACTCTTTTGTTGTTGTTGTTGTGTACCGTCAAATCAGGTCCAAATGGCACAAGAGATTTCTCCTACTTCTACTGGCACGTATTCTTCTACTTCTTTTTTAAAAAGTTTTAATAACTCTTCAAAAATATAAAAACTCATTCTTAGCTCATAGGCAGCAATTTTTTGAAAAATGTCCATGTCCTGCACTTGTGTCATTGATCTTGATTTTCAGTCGCTGCTCTAATGTTTTTATATTGCTTGCCACACTTCTAATTATACCTAGTACCAGAGATGGTCCTGCTCATAAACAGTGGCCTCCTGTCCCCTTAAGTGTGATCATCCATTTCCTCCGTAACTCTATGAGACTACTTTCCCTAAGTTCAATGCACATCCTAAATTGCATTTGTTTGCTCAGTAATTGAATTCACAATGATTTTTTTTATCATAAGACTTTCCTTTGTCTTGCCATATTCTGTGTCTTCAGCATCTAACCAATTACTGGTCCTGAATAAATTTTTAGTAAACAAATTCTGACTAAATAGTTAATTAATTGGAAATCCAACTCTCTGAATCAGCGGAACAAAAGGCGGTGAAATAAATGTATGCATCATCAGAATAGCCACTGCCAGGAAGATTCAGGCCCAAATATCCAACAAATGCCCTACATCAGTCAGACCAACATTACATATAATAAACCATATGTCTCCGTTTTTAATGAATTTCTCTTGCTTGGGAGTGAACTTGAATGGTAACATGGAAAATAAAATTATCCTTTTTTTTTTCCTCCCAGCCAGGATAAATTAAATTTTAAGCTTGTTTTATTAATTCCAAACCTGTTGGATGGAGAATGGATAACTATAACTAACCAGGGCAGAAAGATAGTAAAATTGCTATTCACTTGCAAAATGAGGGGGCTTGTGAGCTACAATGTTATTTTCCCCTGCTTTTTACTCCCATTATTCTTATGCAGATTATTTTTTTACAAGCTCTTGTGTATGTGAGGATTTTTTTAAGAAACACAGACTTAGGATTTTTCCTCTTATGAATTTTCAGTACTTAATTAGGGGTGTGACATCTAAGGACTTACATTCATATTCCAAACATAACAGTCTATAATAAACATACCAGTTGGGTTCTTTGAAAGCTGAGGCTCAAATTTGGAACCATCGAAAGGTCTGTTTTGACTAAATTTCCTTTTGGAGCAGTCTTTCCAAAGTGAAATATTTAGAAAGAATTAAGTTGGCATAATTTTGCAATGATCAGTTAACAGCATTTAAAATATTTTATTTAAATATACTCTTTAATAATTCATTTTTCCTTTTCTAAATAAGACTTAGGAATGAACATTTTCTTTAAGGCAGATTTGCTTGTACTTAATGAGAACATGTAGCTGTTTCAAGCATTTCTCTAATTTGTGCAATATTGGAAGATAGTTTCTTTTTAATATTGATTGTGTAGTTTCATTTGGTTACAATTGACATGATATGAACTAAGAAAAATCAGTGACTTTACTTCTTTTAAACAGGTTTTCATTTCAGGTGGATCAAGGAGTGAACGTTGTGATACTGTTTCCAATTTAATAAGCAAAGGCTGCTCATCTGATTCAATTGAATATCCATCTGTGCAAGTAATACCAAGAGGAAATGAAATTAATAGCCAGGTGACACCAGGAGAAGTGTCCATTCACCTACGTCCAGGTTTGGCAATTTTCAAACAATCCTCTTATAAATCTTCATTCAAAATCATACTTCACTCTATCTGCTTATATTTCAATTTATATGGCAGGTTGGAGGAGAAGTAACAGTGGGCTCTGCATCAAGAGATCAGAACTCTAGCCCTTCGTTAGAAAGTTAGGTCCCTGGATGGAACATATAGTTAAACACTCAACTACTAGCTAAATAGTTGGCAGTTCAAATCCACCCAGGGTTTCTCAGGAGATAGGATTGACTAATGCCTTTATAGTCTTAGAAAGATTATAGTCTTGCTAAGATTATAGTCTTGGAAACTTGGTAGGGAAGTTCTGCTCCATACACATACGGTCTCTGTGAGCTCACAGAGACTCAACTGCTATCAAGTGGATTCTAGCTCAGAGAGACTCATGTGTATCAAAATAGAACTAATCTCAGTAGGAGTTTCATGGCTTCTTTTTTGGAAGCATATCCCTAGGTGTTTCGTCCAAGGCACTTCCAGGTGAACTTGAACTCCAAGCTTAATTTGCAGTACTCAGGAACTCCAATATCCCCTTGCTGTAGAGTATGGGCATACTTTTCTGTCATATTAATATGTGGACATTAGCCATCTGATGGAGAATTCATTGACAAATTTTAAGCAAAGAGAGAAGAGCAATTTTGAGTTGACAAAAGGTTAACTTAATAGCATAGAGAGTAGTAGGTGTGAGAAAATGAGCCTAGAGTAAAAGCCAAATGAAGAAACTATGGAAGTAATCCAGCCATAGACAAGAAAGGCTGGCTTGGACTCCAACATGCTGCTGTGGTATGGCATATTAAAGAGCTTTATGTTACTATATTTACCTTGATAGATAATAAGAAGTGAAATAGATTGATGACTAAGCTATCAGAACATGTTATCAAATCTTGGAATCATTTAGAATGCCAATAGTAGTTTGAAGTACAATATTAAAATTAACTTCATCCTTTCTTATGTTGGAATTTCTACATCTACAGAGAGAGAAAATAGAGAAGGAAATGTTGCCATCAGCCAAATGCTGTACTTGGTTATAATGATTTTGCTCACAATTGGGCTAATCAGTCATCACTTAGATTCTGTACTGAATCTAGGATTTGGTAGGATGTTGGTAGGACCTGACTGTCTAACATTGAGAAGGGAAAAAAGACTTAATATGAGTAAGCTAATAAGATTTGAATCTCAGAATGAAAGTAAAAGTTGGATTTCCCATGACAACTGGATATTTTAAAGCTATTCACATAAGCACACACCCAAGAACATTCTCCCATTTACCTGTATTCCAGAATTAGAAAGCTGTTGAAAAGAATGAAGTCTGCACCATGGCAACAAAGTACATGAACAAGAAAACAACTGAGTCATCACCTGTTTCATTTCCCATTGTATCAAAGTACTTAGCTTACTTCCTGTGATGGACAAAGAAAGATGCGAGAGCTATAAATAAAGTAACCACTACCTCTAATCTTCAACACCATAGAGATGATAAGAGCAGTGATGATTAATTGTGAATGCGGAGGGGAAAGCCACATTGACTTTATACTTCCATTATCTGCTTTACAGTCCAGTTGTAACTGCCTTGTAGCTGACCCTTCAGTGGGTCTTTGGAAAGCAGTAAAGTGTGTAAGGCGAAATTGCTCATCTTTATCCTGATGAGTTACTGATGGATTTAGGCCACCAGAGAGAGACTCTGCCTTTGGATTAGCAGTGTAACTCCCTACAGACTATGCCAGCAGCTCCCTGTTAAAATTTATTTTAACTACTAACCCACATTACGTTATAGTGAAATGGATTTAGATAGTATATGCTAGCCAAATTGACCCTTGTTCCTTGTTTAGCTCCATTTTGGTTACATAAGTAAGTGTAACATGGTTACCCACTGCGTGGTTCAAAATTGGGAAGGGCATACACCAGGGATGTGTCCTATCTCCATACCTTTTCAACCTGTATGCAGAACAGATTATCCGGGAGGCTGGGCTCTATGAGGAGAAATGTGGGGTCAAGATGGGTGGAAGATCTATCAACAATTTGTGTTATGCAGATGACACAACCCTGCTTGCTGAAATTGAGGAGCACCTGAAGCGCTTGCTGCAGCGGGTCAAGGACTGCAGCTTCCAATATGGATTGAGGCTCAAAGTCAAGAAGACAAAGATTCTCACCACTAGGCCAATTGGCAGCATGAGGATGGATGGTGAAGAGATTGAGATTGTTCACAGCTTTAGTTTGCTTGGTTCCACAGTCAACACTCTCAGCACAAGTAGCCAGGAAATTAAAAGGCATATTGCAATGGGAAAGTCTGCTGTTAGGGACCTCTCCAAAGTACTGAAGAGCAGTGGTGTCTCTCTGGAGACTAAGGTGCGTCTAATACAGGCCATGGTCTTTGCTATCACTTGTTATGCCTCAGAGCATTGGACAGTGACTAAGGAGGATAGAAGGAGAATTGATGCCTTTGAGCTATGGTGCTGGAGAAGAGTACCGAGGGTACCATGGACTGCTAGGAAAACAAACAGATTTGTCCTGGAAAGGTTTAAATCGGGCGTCTCCCTGGAGGCAAGGATTCTGAGGTTCCGTCTAACATACTTTGGACATGTTGTAAGGAGGGACCGGTCCTTGGAGAGGGACATCATGCTTGTAGGGTAGAGGGACAGCACAGGAGGGGAAGGCCCTCTATGAGGTGGATTGATTCAGTGACTGGGGTAATTGGGATGGGTATATCAGAGACAGTGCGATTGACACAGGATAGAGCAGAGTTTAGGGCTATCGTACATAGGGTCGCTATCGACTCGACGGCACATAACAACAAGCAACAAGTAAGGGTAAACTTGGCCTGGAGAATGTACTATCTAAATATATTTCTCTGGAAAGTAACATGGGCTACTATTTGAACTAAATTTCAGGGAAGGAGCTCAGCAGCATAGTATGTCGTAGGAAGTTGTGCTGTTTACTTAAAAGCAGCACCTCTTTGATGATTTGAATCCACCAGCCACTTCGTGGGAGAAAGAGCGGTAGGCTGCTCACGTGAGATTTACAACATTGGAAACCCAATCAGGAGAGGATGATTATAACGTTGATGATGTAACAGAAACCCAAATTTACTGCTGTGAAGTCAATACTGACTCATAAAGACCCTCTATCTGATTTCTGAAGCTATAAATCTTGGTGAGAAGAGAAAGTCCTTTTCCTGCAGAATGGCTGGTGCATTTGAAGGGTTTGTTTGGCAGCCCAGCACATTACACCTTATGCTGTCAGGACTCTTTCATCTATATAACAGTCTTATTGAATATAACATAAAGATAAGCCTAAGAAACCTGCCTCTCAGAATGTTTCTCATATACAGTTATCTAATTCAAAGCCGACCTGAGAACATATGGTGGAGAGTAACAGCTCAAGGTCATAAGGAGTCATAGCCGTTCAAGTGGGAGCCCTTCAGTTTCCTGTCTCATAAGCAGAGTGGGGTTGGAGCCAGCCTGCCTACCTAGAACCTGCTACTTAAAGCTAGCCCTTCACAGGAAGTTCAAGTGCGTTGCAGATTGAGAGTGGTGATTATGATTCTCTCCAGCAGTAACTGTAAAATGAGCATACTGAGGAATTGTTCTCCTTTTTTTTTCTTTTTTGAGAAACTTCTCTCGTAGAGGCCTCTGATTGCCGAAATCTTGACGAGGCCTAGGTGCATGTGTTAAAGCTAACTCTGTAATCCAAAAAGAAGCTACAGAGCCTTATACCCTCCAACTCTTTCCTCTTGGCAAGACTTCCTCCTGCTCTTCTTCTCCGCTGAGGTCAAAGTCAGGGAGATGAGAGTTGGTTTGCCTATGATGAGCAGTCCAGGCCTGCTGAAGACCCTGTGTGTCTGCTTTATGTTTGGATCTCCCTGAATGGCTAGGCCTCCAAGGTTGTACCTTTGTTGATGCTGCATAGATTCTGCCTATTGCTGAAATCACCGCCCATACTTTTCTCAGGCCTGTGCATAGCATACCAAATATTCCAGTGCATTAAGCTTTGACGCTATGAAGTTAGAAAGCCTCCATCTGTTAGCAGGGACTCTCAATGAATCATTAAATGAAAAGCATGATGTAACCAGACCCTGGGACTGTCAGCCATATCAGTCATATGTCAAAGTCACATAAGGAAGAACCACCAACACAATTGGTAATGAAAAAGAGACAGCAGGTGGCCCAGACATGCCTCTACACCTTATCAAGATCAAAACTCCAATGCCATATTCAAGTTCAGGTCCCTTCACATGGACAGCACCTCAGTTCTTCTTACATTCTGCTTCTATTTCTCGTTCATCTGGGCCTAGGCATTATGTTAACAGTTTCCTGAATTGACCTTCACTCAGATTGCCCATGACATACGTAAGGACAGGCCTCTTCATCAGACAACAGAGAGCAAATAGAATTTGTATTCTCTGGAGGCAACCAGCTTTTTCAAGGAAGGGCTGACAGTGAGCTGGGCTTGGCTAGGTATGTCTCTGTTCTTTGAGGTTTTCCTCAGAAAAAGCAAGAAGGCAATACTAGTGGAGTTTTGCTACAGAAGGGAAAATTATTAATAAATAAATAGTCAATGGACTAATTTTATTAAGCTCCATCAAGTCAACTAAAATCCACAGCCACCCTGTGAGCAACAGATCTGAGCCTTTTCCTGCCTTGCACTATCGACACCCTCCAGGGTGCTTGACCCAGCTGTCCGTCTCTATGTCGCTCATCTTGCCACAGTGGTTATTACTGGATATGAATCATTCTGTTCTATCCATGAGTGAGCGTTGACTCACCAGAACAGAACAATTTAGTAAAATCCAATTGAATAGATAATCTGGCTGATCTATGAACCAACTTAAATGAAAATTTTATTCCTTTTAAGCACATTAATATTGGAAATGTGATTTAGTAATTAGAGGATCCAGATCAAATTGCAAATGGTTTCTACAGATTAATGTCTATTAAAAATATTTTTTTCATTCAAAACAGTCTCTGAGAGCATATCATTATTAGTTTATGAAAAGATTTGTTTTATTAATTTATTTGCTTTATTGAAGAAAATATGACTCAAAAATTCTAAATTGGCTGGTTGTAAGTGAATGTTCTTTCACAATATATTTTTAAAGTAAAAAACAACAGTACCAAGTATGTACTATGCTAGGAGAATAATCCTTCTTCACCATATTTTTATTGAGCACTAACTACGTGTTGAAAAAATACTGTCCTATATGCTCCTTAAGCCCCCGGTAGAACAATGTCAGGCACCATTTATTAAACCACTATCTCATTTTTTCTCTTAGTTAATTTTTGTGAAGAATTTTTCAAAGCAATCGATGAACAGGAACGAATTATTTTTAATTGCTTAATGCATTACCCACAGAGCTCTGGTGGTGTAGAATTAAGGTGTTGTACTGCCAACCCAGAGGAACACAGTTCAAATCCACCACTGTTCTGTGGATGGACACTCTCTTTTCATGCAATTTATTTTCTCTAAAAATCCACTGCTGGGTCAGTTATGGGTCATTCCTGACTCAGCAGTATACAACGACCTACCCAGTATCATAGTTTTCTTATATCATAGGTAAACATGTCTTAACCCAAAAGAATTAGGTCTTCCCTTCATGTAATAAGTAGTTTTCATAAGATAGCTTGCTGATTTTCTTTTAATGATTCCACAAATGCAGTCACCTATTCACATGTGGTATAAAGACACTGTATGCTGTTTTGTGCTGTGCTTTTCTAGATACCAAGGGGGGGAAAAGGTTCAGATGGTGATAAATATATTTCCTACCATATTTACATAGAGTTAGTCTATCTGTTACTATCTTCCATAGAATTGTGGGAGATGCATTGCAGATATTGGAAACTATTAAATCCAAATGCTTTTCAAATTGTTCTAACAGAGTATTCCTCATTTCATTCATTATGAGTACATTGTTTAGATTGGTAAATTGTTTTAGATGCTGAAATGTGCTTGATTAGTTGACTGTTCATCTCAAAATATTGACGTAAAAATGGAATTAGTTTTCATTCTTTTCTTTGAACTAGGGGCTGAAGCTAATTTTATGTTGAAGATTCATCCTCTGAAGAAATATCCTGTGGATCTTTATTACCTCGTGGATGTTTCAGCATCAATGCATGATAATATAGAAAAACTAAATTCTGTCGGGAATGATTTATCTAGAAAAATGTCACTTTTCTCCCGTGACTTCCGGCTTGGATTTGGCTCCTATGTTGATAAAACAGTTTCACCATACATTAGCATCCACCCAGAAAGGATTCATAATCAGTGCAGGTATAGTGTGTGATGTGGAGTTCACGGTGCCAAAGGAGATTTTTTATATATATAAATAAATTTCACTTTGTTTTCTCTTATATACAGAACTTTGTATTTTTGTCTTATTGAATTAGAAAAGGAAGTATTTGGAAAAGATATAGATAGATAGATAGATAGATAGATAGATAGATAGATAGATAGATAGATACACACACACATATATATACATATATATAAAATCTTATTATATAGTTCTTCATATAACTTTCATTCTGTTTTTTTCTTAAAAGAAAATCCCTGTATGACATTACTAACTTTGTAAAAAAACATCAATAATTAGATTGCCATGTGTTGATTAACAGTAAGAAATTGTGCTGCCAATATGAAGGTACATAGTTTGAATCCACCAGCTACTTTACTAGTGAGAGATGGGCAAGCAACTACTGTGTGATTTATTGCCTCTGAAAACCTGCTGGAGGGTCAGCTATAGGTCTATTCTGAATCAACAGTGTACAACAACAACAACATATATAATTCATTCTTTTGAAATTCTGTATTTTTCCATTGGTAATGTTTCAGACTTATTGAACTAGTATTTGTTGCACTTTAAAGGATGTTGACAGTACTGCATCTATATTTCTGTAACATTATTGAAATTGTGTTATATTGCAGGTGCCTGAAAGCTTAACTATCATGGGTAGTGTGAGTTAAAAGAAAAAGAATTCTTTTTCTTACCATTCTAAATTGGATTCTAAACTTAAATAACTGACCTTAAAATATTTCTCACACACTGTTGTCATTAGTTTGCTGAATTTCCTGAGAGGAATAAATATGTACAGTTCTTCCTCCGTAAAACATTTTATTTTAGCTTGTTCTTTCCTACTTCCATACAGTGTCTAGGTCACCTTACAGTACTCATTCCAATTTACCAAAATAACTATTCTATCTATTGGACAGAACAGGACTGACTCATCGCCTAGTGAAGCTTTATGAGCCTCCTGGAATGTAAATGCACCAGAGGATTCATTCTCATTTCCTAGAACATCATGCAGTTCACAAACGAATGCCAATAAATAATAAAAAATAATCAGTCATTAATAATTCCATTCCTAGCATCAATTTTTAAATCCAAAAGTCAATCAATGTTACAGTATTCTAACAAAACTCTCAAACTGGTTCCCAAAAAGTATTTGTTCAGTGTTCAGCGATCAATCTCTTACCCCTCTTGACAACTTGCAGTGCATATTAACACCTTAACAGCCCTGCCTATCCTGTATTAGGGAAATGATTTTAATCATCTTCATTTTGTAAACAAAACAAGCTTGGAAGCAGGAGTGGCATCCACTTCCATAATAGCTTGTCTCTGGAAACCTTATGAACCTGGAGTAAGGACAAAAGTTATACAGGTGTCAGGGACTTTCGTTCATATGGTCGCTATGAGTCGCCTGCAACTCAAGGGCATTTAATAGCAACAACAACATTTTGTTAACACTAAAACCTTAAACTCTTAGCTCTTTCTTGCAAAGAAGTAGTCACCAATGGAACTTCCTTCTGATTTCATGAAGTTCCCTGATAAAATTTTCTTGGAGTCAAAACCAAATTTCCCCTCTTAGGCCAGCCATACATTTCTGCTATTAATGTTATTAAAGTCACTACATCAAAAGATAATTTATATTTCTTCTTTTTTCTGTAGTGACTATAATTTAGACTGCATGCCTCCCCATGGGTATATTCACGTCTTGTCTTTGACGGAGAACGTCACTGAGTTTGAAAAAGCAGTTCACAGACAGAAGATCTCTGGAAACATAGACACGCCGGAGGGAGGCTTTGATGCCATGCTTCAGGCAGCTGTCTGCGAGGTAAAAGGTTTCATCTTTCTGCCTGCTTACTCAAATGAAAAACTCTCCAAATATTTTCGGATTTTTTATTTTATTTCTTATTGCTATAATAGCATGGAAAAACCCATTTCTTTACTATCTCTTATTCATGACCAATATCATTCGTTTTGTTATGTGTTTGGAATAGAGTGACTAAATTGAGAGAACAATATAAATAGAAAGAGATAATAGAAAAAGAATAACTTACTCACCTGGGAAATGTTTTCCAAAAGAGCTTATCCTCTTATACACCAGTCTCCAAGGAGGGAGCAGAAGTAGTCTTGTCACACCACAGTGGGTGACCACACTGAGAATATCTGACTAGAAATCTCGGGCTCAGAGTTTGTATGCATGAATGGCTGTGATTAAACAGAATATACTCAGTAAGAAATTCATACTGCGTATGCAACTACATTGAATTCATGCACATGATTCAAATCTGACTTCATTGTTTGTTAGCTTGAAGTGAGGTTCACTGGAAAGCAAAGACTGCAATGCAGAGTTGTGTTGTACAAAGTCTCATTACATGTTTGTTCTAAGAGTCATATTGGATGGCGAAAAGAAGCTAAAAGGTTGCTGCTGGTGATGACGGATCAGACATCTCATCTTGCTCTTGATAGCAAATTGGCCGGCATTGTGGTGCCTAATGACGGGAACTGCCATCTGAAAAACAACGTCTACGTCAGGTCCACAAGCATGGTAATGTAGTGTTCGACCATAGTAGATTTGGCTGTTTTGGTTAAAGTAAAAGTTTAAATTAGCTACTTTTTGTTCTTGTATCTAAAGGTACAGTTAATTATGTAAAGAAGCACTATACAAAGCCAGAATAAGCCATCAGAGACAGATGTGCAAGAATGTCATTTATAAACACTGATCAATGTCAATAATGCTAAAAAGGTTTGACAGCACCTTGTGATTGACCCTTTGATAGATGATAGGACATCAATAAAATGAACAAGATGAATTGATGCGGTAACTATGGAAATGGGCCTGAGTATGTCAGAGATGATGAGGATGGTACTCTCCATATCCATAGAACAGGATTCAGATCTGCTGTTAATCAGGTCTCTGTGAGCCTATCAACTTGACAGCACCTAACAGCAATAATAGTGGTTGACTCTTTGATGTATTAGAAAACACTTGATAAAAATAAAAGTGATGCAAAGTCTACTTTAAGGACACATACAGTGCAGTCTAACTACAACCAGCAAAGTCTTTTAGGCCTGGGAAATCCTCACAGTACAATAAATAGAAATGAAATAGAAATCCCTGAAAGTCTATATATAAAAAAAGACATTTTTAATATTTAAGCAGTAAACCACACAGTACATCTTTAAGTCTAAAGATTTAAGTAATAAATCATACAGGAGTTCATTGCCCATTTTTCTCCTGCAGAGCAATTGGGAGACTTTAACCACATAACCTTCATATTGACAGCACAATTCCTTACCACTAAGCCACCAGAGCTCCCCTAGTAAAGAAAGGCAGGCTTTTTATACTAGGGGCTTCATTTTTTCTCTCTGAAAACATGTTGATGTACAGAATGGACTTTGAAATCAGTGATGATTTACATTGCTTCCTGATGTTTAGAGAAAGGTGTGAATCATATGCTTAAATACAATCTTGCAGATCCACATTATCTTCAGCATAATTTATTCTAGTTGTAGAAAATCAATTCTACAATCCATCATTTATTTCTGATGCTGATAACTGTTTGTACAAATACATTATGTAGGAATTTCCAGATTTTTTTCCCTTTTGTGGTACAATACTCTTTCTTTTCTCTCATTGCTGTGGAATTGGAACAGAGTTGGGAACAATTCAAAGATGACCCTCCAGCAAATTTTCAGATCCTATAAATTGCATGCTGGTGGATTCAAACTGCTTGTCATTGAGAAGGCTTCACAACTACTTGCCCACTCTGCCACTAGATCTCATATTAAGGAGTTAAGTTCAAATAACTCTGTGCAAACTCAGAGGTACACAGTTTGATTCCTCTAGCTACTCTGTGGAGAAAAGATGGGCATTCTCCTCCCCTGCAACTTACTACCTCTGAAAACCTGCTGGAGGGTCAGCTGTGGTTTGGCTCCAACTCAACAGTACATAACAACAACATAGTAACCAGAGGTTTGTTTGTTTGTTTGTTTTTTTAAAAAAAGAATATGTATGAGCCTGTGTGTGTTTGTATGCTCTGCTAATATAATCACAATGAATTGTTGATAGGAATTTCCCAGATCATAGAATCAGATTGGATAGTACCACCCTCCTGATCTATATTGATTTCTTCACTGTCTTTATTGATCAGAACAGTCTCCAAAAACTCAGCTTTGCAAACATATTGATATCATCTGTAAGCATATACATCCCGTTGTTATGTACCCTGTAGAGTTGAAACCAACTCATAGCTGACATTTCAGTGGCTATTCCTAGGCTGTGAATTACAGAGAGTAAACTGCCTATTTTTCTTCTATGGAGCAGCTGGCAGATATGAACTGTGTGCCTTTCATTTGGCAACACAACTCTTTTATATGCCACCAGAGCATTATCAGTACTGAAGTCATATGTTAAAGCTGGGAACTATTTTCACCTGGTTCAAGGTTACCTGATGGGTACAGTCTCACTGGTTTTCACTGAAATTTTAAGACATTTTATGGCACTCTTTTGAGTTCACTATAGGATAGGACACTTCAGGGCAGAGTTTAGTAACTGCATTCCTCAAGGCATTCACTAGACTCACAACACCTAAACACTGTATGTGTTCAATAAAGACATTCCAGTTCAAATCCACTGAGTTTCTGAGATTGTAAATCTTTATGGGAGGAGACTGGCGACCTTTCTTCTGAAGAGAGGCGGATGGCTTAAAACTGCCTGCCTTGGGGAGCTCTGGTGGCCTAGTGGCAAGAAGATGCATGGCAATCCCGGAGGTACGTGATTCAAATCCACTAGATGCTCTGCTGGAGAAGGAGGGGCAATCTCTTCCTGTACCAGTCAGATCTGATTTGCCAGTACACACAACACAAAATAATAAAATAAAATAATAAAAAGAAACCCCAAAACTGGCTGCCTTCTGGTTAACAACCTGACAGCATGACCGACACTTCGTCTGGGCTGTCCAATAGAAGCATAAGTAATACGAAAGTATTTCTCTTGTAAAAAAGGGGGAAAAAAGATAAATAGATTAACCATTAACTGAGAACACCCTGCCAGATATGCTGAAAGTTTACATGATCAATTATATGACACAAATTCAATCCCTGTTGGGTTTAGTCTTTTGAAAGAAATCTCAAAGTGTAAAGATTTTAGAAAGGTAATTAGAGTTTGAACTGAAAAGAATCTAGGAGTTACAGTCATCCAAATGGTGTCATTCCATTTGCTAATTCCCTCCTACTCAGCAGCATTTGGCTTTGGCAGACCCACCCACTCCAGCTTTGTCATTCTGTATCTATCATTAACTTCCTCCTATTTAACTTCTTTCACTCTGAAATATAGTCTTAATTTACTTATTGGGGAGTGGAGGCAGAGATAGGAGGAACTATTCTACTGTGAGACCAGAAGAAGCTTTTTTTAAAAAAGAAATAATGATTATATTGTTCATGAATTGCATTATTCTTTTGAAGTTTTGCCAAGTTAGTGAAGTCATCTCTACTTAATTGCCTTTGAGTGTGTGTTCTTATCTGGGGAGTATTCCTTAAGCAAAGACATGTTCCCATAACTTGAAGACATGTAGTGTCATGCTATAGAATCTGAGAGAGTAACGTTAAAGCTTTTGTGGAATTTTTGGCAGTGCTTGGGGTCTTGCGACATCAGGAATGTAGGCAATCTGTCATGAAATTCTTTTCTCTTCTTTAACATTGTTCTACTTTTTGAAAAGAATGAACTTTTCAAAATGCTACTGATTTGGAGGACTAAGTATTGTAAACCCAGGAGCAATGCATTTGAGTATTTTTGTTAGAAGACAGTGAGTATCGTTCATATTACACAAGATGCACCATAGCTCTGAAATCTCCTGTTTAAGCTACCTTACCCTGTCCTTTCTTATTTGACTGTAACAGAACAGTGTAAAACTATGTAACCTAGGCAAGCGTAAGTAATCCAACTGTCTATGTTAGACAAGCATAGATGATCAAACACTCTCATGTAATTAACTGTCCCTGAAAATCCACCAGACAGGCAGCTATGGCTCAGTTCTGTATTAGATGGTACACAACCAAAACAAGCATAAGTATTCAAATTCAACATTAAATACCATGTTGAATGGTGTCTGCACTTTTTATCCAAGATTGACTATTTTATATATTGTTGTTGTTAAGTGCCATCGAGTCACAGGCAACTCATAGCGACCCTATGAAGGAGAGTCCTTGACGCTTGGGAGCCTTTCATCCTCTCTCCAGGTTCATAGGGTTTCTGGAGTCAAGCTATTATGGAAGTGGATGCCACTCCTCCTTCCACGCTTGTTTTAATCGGGGAGCTCCACCCCACTCTCTGTCCGCATTGGGTAGCCAACCATTAATGCATTTGACACATCAGTGTCACAGTATTTTATATATTGGAGGAAATAATTTTCTTTGGTTTCTTTAAAATTCAAACTTTATTAGGTATGTTAGAGAAAATAATTTAGAATAAAACTTTTCCCTAAATTACATGGATCAGAATTCTTTTTTGCACATATTTCATAAAGGTCAACATGAATTCTAGAAAAATAAACACACAAGCTCACTCATTGTCATTGTCACTGCCCCGCCAGTGAATTCTCTGAGGCTGTAAATAGCACTGGAGGAAATTGCCCATCTTTTTCCCTTGGAGAAGCTGGTAGACTCACATTGTCTGCCTTTGGGTTAGTGGTACAACTCCTTATCTCTTGATAACAAGATAACATATTCATAATTATCCTTTCTTACCACTGGACTGATAGACAACAACATGATGGTAGAAAGATTGAAGTTGTCAACAACTTTATCTTACTTGGATCCACAATAAACACCCTCCATACCAGCCATTTGGAAATTGGGAGATGCATTGTTCTGGGAAAATCTGCAGTCAGGGACCTCTCCAAATTATTGAGAAGCAGTGATGTCAGTTTGAGGACTAATATTTATATGATTCAGGCCATGGTTTTAACTTATTATGCCTCTGAGAGCTGGGCAGTGAATAAAGAAGACAGAAGAATCAAAGTCTTTCAGCTGTGGTAACGCAGAAGAGTACTGAAAACACCTTGGACTGCCAAAAGGACAAAGAGATATGTCTTAGAGAAAGTGCAGCGAGAGTGCTTCTTGGAGGCAAAGATCATAAAGCTTCATCTCACATTTTGGGCATGTTGCTAGGAGAGGCTATTCCATGGAGAGGGACAGAAAGAACCCTCCACCAGGTGGATTAACACAGTGACTGCAGTAATGGGCTCGAGGGCGGCAGGAAATGTGGGGATGGCACGGGATAGAATAGAGTTCAGATCTGTTGTTTATAGGGTCACTATGGCTCGTACTTAACTCAATGGAACCTAACAACAATAATGACAATTATTATCCTTTTAGTATAAATAGGATAACTAAGAGTCACTATGTTTGAGTAGGTTGTTTGAGGATATATAGCTCAAAAGCTAAAACATAACAGAACTTGGACTCATTCCATTTACATTGAGGTTAATCTTATATTAAATCTACTTTCTTCCCTACTTTGCCATGAAGTGTCTCAGCTGAAACAAA